ATAAAGTGCTAGTGGTTGTGAGGACTTCCTCCTCCTCACTCCATACAGTCTGCTTCAGCCAGATTGTGACACTAACATGTGCACAAGCTGGTGCGAAAACTGTCTTGGTGTCTGTATCTAATTTCCGCCTTGATAAAAAACTATTTATGAGGTTGTGTTTGTTTGTTTTTGTCTCTCAGTTTGTTGTTTAACTTGATGGTTTAAAGCAGAATATATCTTAAAATTAAATATGCAAAAATGCCCAAACACTTGAACTCTAGTGTGGGTACATTTACTCAAGAACTGTGCTTAAATACAAAAAATGAGTTTATTTTACTGTAGATCTTTTCCACCATGTTCACAGCTGTGGATAATATAAAACCTATAATGTGCTTTAAAAACACGTATGCTTTAAATTAAACCACTCAGAAGTAGAGAATATATGAGACATTTAGCTTGTGATTGTGGTGTTGAGGTCACTTTAGTGTGTAAAGATTTATGCTTGATTGTCTTTTAAACAATCTAATCTTTGGTGAAAACTTCACATTATTTAAATTCGCTTTAAAAATACCTTGGACAGATGCTTTGCTGTTTCCGGTCATTGGGCCAGATGCTTGTCTCTGCAAAAATGAGAAGAGAAAGAACGAGCAATTAAAAGTTACAATTAACACCAGCCTGAGACGCGACATGTAAACCTGCCTTCAACCCAAAATATGTTGTTCATTCCCCCAAGCACCAATCTGATCGTTTCCTGGACCAAAACAAGCATCTGCTATAGTCACACAGATGTGAGCAACACATAAAACAATTGAAAGCAGAGGTGTGGTTCTTTGTGAGGCGAGCCAGGATGTGAGAAGCTGATCTATAATCCATGTTTCTGCAGCAGAGACAAGTTTGCTCTACCTGCTCCTGCAGCTCCTCAGAGTTCTCTGATGATGCCGTTCGCCCACAGCAAGACTGCATCCAGGCTTACAGTGTGAGCTGAGACTCGCTTCACATTCACAACTTCTGCTTTTCTAAGAGAGTTTCCTTCACATGGACCTTTGGTTTCGTGCCATTTAGTTGGGGTGGCTGTGGCTCAAGCACTAGAACAGGTCAAAGGTTAGCGGCTCAATCATTGGCTGCTCTAGTCTGGGTCCTGAGCTGATGTGCATACAAAAAAGTGGTTGGATTGTTAATAAATATTTATTACAAAGTATAAAAAGTACTGCAACATGCAGTTTACTGTTAATCATGCCAATACTTAATGTTACAAAAAAGGCATGTCTTATTTTTTATGCTTGATGTTGACGTGCACGGACTGCGACTGTGTATAATTATATAAAGTATTAAGTATCATTTTAGTTTAGTGCCATCAGAGTTCCTCTTTCTTGATAAATACACAATATGGCCAAAAGTATTCACCCACCCGTGTAAATCACTGAATTCAGGAGCTCAGTGAATTGCAGCCTGGTAC